AATGATTCCGATACATTGCCGTCCATCATTTTAAAGCAATAAATGAAAGGGTGCCACGAGAAAGCTGTATTGCACTTGTACGATGTGGACATGGCGCCGTTTGTATCCATTTACGCCCATGACGAACTCAACGCTGGACAAGTGCCATTCTAATCTTTTTAAAATCAGGGGCGGTCGGGTAGCCTAGTTGTTAAAGCGTTCGCTCGCCACGCCGAAGACCCGGGTTCGATTCCCGAAATGGGTACAATGGGAGAAGTCTATTTCTGGTGTCCTCCGCCGTAATATTGCTGGAATATTGCTTAAAGCGGCGTAAAACCATACTCACTCACTCCTTAAAATCAGCCGTTAATACTTGCTTAACAAAGAATTGAGGACATCCCATTACGGGTCACGTCAGAGCAACCTTCTAATGGGATGTCCTGAGATCTTTGTTTAGCGGTAGCGAAAATTAAGATGTTTTAAATAATATGAACCTGCTTTATCCTTCACATGTGTACCATATTAAACGAGAAGGTGTTCTTTAGCAGTTTATTAGAGGGTTCTTATGATTACGCAAATATTTGTGTCGCTTTTATTTACGACACATATTATAAAAGCCTTTTGGTAGTGTTCAGTGTCTCTTTGTGGTATTTGGTATTGTGCACCTGTACGTACACAAACTATAGTCTGTCAAATGACACCTCACAGGTATTGCAAACAGGGGCGACCGGTAAACATCCCGGTTAGAATAGGTCTTCAGCAACCCATGCTTTTCATAAGAGGCGACTAACGGGATCGGGAGGTCAGGTTCGCTGACTTGGTTGATGCATGTCATCAAGTCCAAATGATTGATTGATGCTCATGATGTGAGTCATGGGATTGTCTGGTCCAGACTCGATTATGTAAAGACCGCCCTCACATAGCTGGAATATTGCTGAGTGCGGCGTTAAACAACAAACAAGCATAGTCGACATTTGCGGCAAGCATGGGCTGCTGAAGACATATTCTACCCCGGACCTTCACGGGTCAAAATAACATAATACCAACAATAATAACAAAGCCAACTCAACTCCTGGTCATCTTTCGCGACCACAGATTACAGTACTACAGCCACGAACAGGTACATATATGTATCCTCTGTGTGTTTCAGCCGTCAGATTGTTTTGGTGCACGGGATCCCCTAGAGGTCCTTGTATCGCTAGGCGGCTACAGAACAGAACCCCCCAACACCGTCTACACAATCCTCGTCAAGGAATACGGCGATGTAGGGAATGGTTGTCAGTCGACAGGACGAGTCTTCAGGGCTAGAGATAATCCAAGGTCAGTCTTATTCTACGACACAGTGCTCTATTACCAGTCCAGCGCGATCGAGCAATTCCATCTAATGATATTTTTTCAGCAAATGTAAAGCTTATATTAACAACAAACATGAAGGAAGGCAATTTAAGATAGCAACACGCTATTGATGCTCCTAATATATTCTATGGCGTAGGATTGACATAAGCATTGCGTTGTGTTCAGCTTACTGTGAGTGAGTATGGCTTAACGCCGCTTTTAGCAATATTCCGGCAATATCACGGCGGGGGACACCGGAAATGGGCTTCACACATTGTACCCATGTCGGGAATCGAACCCAGGTCTGCGACGAGAGAACGCTTTAACCACTAAGCTACCCGACCGCCCCTTCAGCTTACAATGCCCACCATGTGCCAGTGTTGTATTGACGCATGTGTCGAAAGTGTGTTGATGTCTTGATGAATAGATTGTTTGTTTGTTGTTTGTAGTTGTTCTTGTTGTTGGTTGTTTGTTGGTTGTGTCTTTGTTTGCCTGTTGTTTGACGCCCCACTCAGCAATATTTCAGCTATATGAAGGCGATAAATAATCGCGTCTGGACCAGACAGTCCAATGATTGACATCATGAGCATCTATCCACGCAATTGGGATAAAATGACATGCATCAACCAAGTCAGCGGCTTGACCACCTGATCCGTTAGTCGTCCCTTACAAGCATGGTCGCCTTTTACGACAAGCATGGGTTGCTGAAGACCTATTCTACCCCGGATCTTCACGGGTCTATTGAACAGACTGACAGGGACGGTTTGTGAACCTTGAGTCTTCACATTAATCAAGCATCATCTGTGTTGCTGTTGATGTATAAAACTCAAACGAAGTTGGATAAAACCCGATTGTTCATATGACTATAGTTAATCTGTCATGGCTGGTAGCAGCCTTCTAATTGTGAGTGTTCTATAACTTGTTTTGGGGAGTTAATATGTGTACGGGACCGCCTTCGTGCACGTGGTCTAGTGACGCGGGCTCGAGGTCAGTATACTGTGTCTGAGTAGGGTATTCTTGTTAAACTGCGGCATGGTATCTCAGTGTGCTAGCACTATAAATCGGCATCAGTCCGGACTAGTACAAGCAGCATGCACACACACACACACACACACACACACACACACACACACACACACACACACACACACACACACACACACACACACACACACACACACACACACGTACATGCACGTCGCTATATAAGTGCAATAATCTTGGATGCGACGTATATGTGTACATCTGGGGTATCAATTTGAACTATTTGCTGAACATACTCAGTAAAACTAGTAACTTATCACAGCATGAAAGGCTCTGTACGCGGATATTTGGCTCAGCAACATGGCTTACAATGCACTGCCAGTTTAACCAAATTGAATTATCAATAACTGGCATTCTTCATTGTATTTGAGTAAATCAGTGAAATCATCATCATGTTAAAAAATATTGTTGTTGATTACTGATATAGTTACAGTTTTTTCTTACTTTTTAGCCAACTTCTAGAATGCCAATCAAACAGTTAGATATAGTTACTGATTACTTAGGCGATTACAATCAAACGTAGCAGCGTTACCAGTTATACTGTCTATATAAGAATTTCTACACGTCTCTATTTTCAGGAAAGATGGTAAACCTGTGCATGCGCGGCGTAGGAGGCGGAGAATGGCAAAGAATGTGTATGGATTTTGTAGCTCGCTTAAGAATGCCCTTCTTAATGTCGTTTTGTTACGCTGTTTGTAAGGTGATGCTTGGCGCTTTTAACCGATGCTTGCTTATGCTTGCCGCTGTTTACCGGTGCTTGCTGATACTTGCAGCTATATAACGGTACTTACCGATGCTTGCTGGTGCTTGTTTGCACGATGCTTGCTGATGCTTTTTGATTTAAAACGTTGCTTACTACATATGCATACCGTAGCTTGCTAATGCTCGTCGCTGTTTGCCGGAAGCTTGTTGATACTTGCTGCTGTTTACCAGTGCTTCTTGATGCTTGTCGATGCATACCGTAGCTTGCTGATGCTTGCCGCTGTTCACCGGTGCTTGTTGATCCTTGCCGATGCATACCGAAGCTTGCTGGTGCTTGTCGCTGTATACAGGTGCTTGCTGATGCTTGCCGTCGTTTACCGGTGCTTGCTGATGCTTGCCGTCGTTTACCGGTGCTTGTTGATGCTAGCTGTCGTTTACCGGTGCTTGTTGATGCTTACCATAGTTTACCGGGGCTTGTTGATGCTTGCCGCCGTTAATGGTGCTCGTTGATGCTTGCCGCTTTTTACCAGTGTTTCTTTATGCTTTACGCTTTATACCGGTGGCTGCTGATGTTGACGCTCTTTATCGCTGCTTGCCGCTGCTGGCGACCTCTCTCGCAATGCATATGCTTCATGCAAAGGAATAACGAAATATCATGCTTATCATACCGAGTATTTAAAGTCATTCCTTCATGAATTTTCAACAAGACATTTATACTCTGTGGTGTAACAGTTTCGTTCAAAATTTATATTATAAATTATCATTATTATGTTGTTATTGTCATTCAGTAGAACTCGTGACGTTGTCCTGCTGTAAAAGTGACGTCGATGAATTTAACCAACAGTATATGGGTATCTTTCTGAAATTTACAGCAGTTACAAAACAAGTATATATTTTAAATGAGCATCGTCATGATGACGGTATCATATAGCCTTAATTCCTACGGACTATCTTGATATAATAGTGACAGTGTATTGCATGCCCCGTATTTCCCTACCATATACAGTAAAATACGGTTATAACGAACTCAAAGGGACCACTAATTGTAGTTCGTTATAAACGTAGTTCATGTTGAGCATATATACAGCATATATACAGCAAATGGCCTGGACTAAGAAATAAGTTATATCGGTCGGTTCGTTATAAGCGTGTTCGTTATAAAAGTAATTTACTGTACATATTGTCTATACAAATGGGTTAATTCAGTTTCAATCCCTGTAACTACTATTAATGATGAACACTCAATGTCATTGAATCCCGGGATTCGAACCCACAGGCACACAGAGTCAGCCATCTAATCCACTCAGCCACCGAGGCTTCCACAAAATGAAGTCCAGATAATGTACTTTGTGTACCAATCGGACAAGCGTAAATTGGCACGGCTCCCATGGCCAAAAGTTATGAACACACAAGGTCATTTAGAAAGTGGTCAAATGTAGCAAATGTATATTTGGAATAACACTTTCTTCGTAAAGTTTGTACCCCTCTGACAATGTACACTTGTCGGAGGGATACACAAAGTATGTGATCTAGACTACCAGTTGTCGGAATTTCATTTTGATGGTAAGATGGCTGACTATATGAGCTGGCGATTAGGTGCCTCACCCTGACAGTGTGTGTTCGAATCCCGAATGGGACTAAGCTAAAAAAATACTATAATCTGTACTTCACTAAGAAAGTATTATCCTAAATATGACATTAATGATGTCAATTAAGACAAGGACATTATGAAGGTAAATGAATTATCTTTATTCCCAAGTAACTGTATAAAATGGCTGATTTTGTTTTGTATAAATCACCCCTACATATAGTTGTTTAGTGTTTCCTTAAATGAGTTCCATGGCTAAAGTTCTGTAACTTTAAAGTTCTATATTTCCAGTTGAACAATTGGTCATATGTTAAATCGGGTCAGATCCGGTATTTAAGTAGTGATAAACCAAATGCCTCAGGGGTGTCCTAGGTCAGGATAACACCCATGAAGATCCGAGTTGGAATCGTTCCTCAGCAACCCTCTTGTCGTAAGAGGCGACTAGCGGGATTGGGTGGTCAGGCTCGTTGACTTGGTTGATGGATGTCATCGTTACCCAGCTCGAGGCTCATGATGTCAATCACTTGATTGTCTGGTCGAGAATCAATATTTACAGACCGCCGCCATATAGCTTGAGTGCGTTAAACTACAAACAATAGACTAGGTTAATGGCATCAGACGTGATGAACCAGATGCCTCTGAACCTACATACCATGGCCACGTCTACACTCACGTATTAGTTTTTGACGGTGGTTTTTTTCACTTCATGATTGCAAACCGCTGAAATAAGCATCAGCATCATTACTGCCATGAAGATGCGTATCCATGGGATTCCGGAGTAGAACAGATCCCCAGCATCCTGTGAATGGCGTACGACCCGTAAATGGATCCGTGGTCTGTTTCGGCAACCTGGATGCCGTTGTACAAAGCGATCTTAGCGCTGAGGGAATCGTGCTTCCCATACATTAAAATAGACTCACGACAGTCGTAGCGCTACAGCAGCTTGCGTGTCATCGTATTCCAATGGCATATTTAATATATGGTGTCTGACTCGGGTATTCTCAAATAGCTGGAATTGTGGATTATGAGGCGTTAAACAACACGCGAACAAACAAACATGTCTGCGATCAGTTTAATCACCATTATATCATTTTCTTTCTAGTCCTACGGGTTTCCTGGCTACCTACAAGAATCCAACCAACCAGGCAATAAGGGCCATTAGTGCTGCCACGCTTGACGGCCAAAGTTCAATCATTGGACACACACTTGTGGTGGGTACATATTTTACTTTAATAATTTTCTTCATGACTACTGTCCTATGATTTGATTTTTGTTTGAATTTAATTTTGGGTACTAAAAACCGTTTAATATTTTTATAATAATAATGAAATTGAGTTCAATGATAATGGTTCATATGACTGTCGAAAAAACTACAAAATTACACTTTCCTTCTATATATCTATAAAAATCGTAAACATATCGGGGGCACGGGTGGCCCAGTCGTCTAAGGCGCCGCGATTCACTGTGCAGAGTTGCGTCCCTTGGGCACGCCAGAAACCTATGATTGTGGGTCCGAATCCCGGTTCGCCCAGATTGTGTTTCTTGGTTTGTCAGCACCATACCCGTGCTCGTGGGTTTCACCGAAGTGGTAAACGTCTGAGACCTGCATCACTTGGGGCTTTCCTCCCACATTAAGCTGACACGCCACGATAGAACTGGAATACTGTTAAAAGCGGCGTTAAACCCAACTCACTCGCGTAAACATATCGAACACAGTTCATCACAAACAATGTTTGTTTGGTTGTTTGGTTGTTGTTCAGCGCCGCACTCAGCAATATTCCAGCTATATTAAGGCGGTCTGTAAATAATCGAGGCTGGACCAGACAATCCCATTAACATCGATCCACGCAATTGGAATACGATGACATGCATCAACCAAGTCAGGGAGTCTGGCAACCCGATCCCGTTAGTCCCCTCATGACAAGAGTGACCTCTTGGTTTGCTGAAAACCTATTCTTATCAGGATCTTCGCGGGTTCGTTTAACAATGAATACTTAGATCATATGTCATCTTTACTATCTGTTTTATATGTACTGAATACAGTGAATATTTTTGGGGGGTATTTTGTCCTCACTGAAAAAGTAACATCCCAATAGATATTCATGACCCCTAACTTTTTTTGTTCAGCATACTTGATTTTATCTTGCTCTTTGTCTTAACCTACAGGTAACTAGGGGTCCTAGCAACGACGTACTTGGATGCTGCGTGATTGGCATCTCTGATGGGTTACGATTTGCTGGCACGCCCAAATCACAGCCCGTTCGAGAAGCTCCTTTCGGCTTCGGGTCAACTTCTTCACAGCCAGTGAAGAGCAACAGTTTCTTTGAAACGCGCCATCCATTCCAAACTCATGCCGCTCAAAGTTTGCCCTTCAGTTCTCATGATGACCCTAAACCTGCGAGTCCTTCCTTCGGGTTTGACATTTCCTCTCTAGGAAACATCCATTCCCAACCATTTGGAGATCACCAGTTTGGTGGTGGTTTTGGGTCGAGCATTGCTGGACCGACCGGGTTGTCTCCCTCAATTTCCAACCTTAAGAAGCCCCCAACACCGCCAGCCTTCCCTGGGGGAATCCATGACACGGATACCGGTTCCCCCCTGTTCGGACCTATTGGGGAAGATGCAAATAGAGTTAAAAATACCTTTGGTTTTGATCTCCATGACTTCACGTCACTATCCGATTCTGATAAATTTATCCCTCGCGATGGTGAGGAAACAGAAGGCCCTGGGTCTGATGGAGGAGATGCTGATCGTGGTCAGGGATATGATGGTAGAGATGCTGGTCAAGGTAACGGAGCTCGTGGAAATTATGATGAAGGTGGTGAGAGGCAGAGCGATTATGATGATGCAAGGGATGCTCAAAGATATAATCCTGCACGTAACCAAGATCGTTACGCTGAGGAAAGACCACGTGCTGCTCTTCATCAAGGCGACAACCAGGGTATATCACAAGGGAGTCCTGGTTCAGATGCTAGGAGCGATCGCGGACAAGATGAAGAATACACTAATGGTCCTGTTTCACCTCAAGCTGGAAGCTATCAACCTGAGAAACAAACAGCTGCTCCTTTAGACGATCTTATCACTAGAGCTTCGACTGAATCCGCTGGTAGCAGTGTTAATGACCCACAGCCTAGCACTCAACAGGTTCCACAACAACCAAATGAAGCTAGCTATGCTAGAGCCACACCAGCTCATCATGCTGACCAACCATATGAAGAAGCTAATGCCAATGTCGTTCACGAACCGACACATCTTGAAAACACACCAGTGCTTCCTCGATCTCCCAACAATAACCCAGGCCCAGTGTATGCAGCAATTGCTAAGGCTGTCGTTACAAATGCTGTCTCTCCGCCTGTTCCTCAAACTACCGATGTAACAGATGCAACTGAATCTGTTCCTAAGAACGCCCCCGTTGTATCAGATCCGGTTCCGTTGCCAAACCCAACAATCCCAACTCCTAATGCACGTGTCATCACGGCAGACATTAATCCTGTTACCCCGTCTATCATTACAAAAGCCCCTGTACAATCAACCGGTTATCTAAACCCTGTTGGAAGCTCCCAATCTCAGACTGGATCCTACGAAGCTTCTCCATCCACAGTCCACAGGGATCAACCCACCAATGACTACTCATCCGACAGCTTCTCTCACAGAGGACACGCCGATGCCAGTCCCGTCCCAAAAGGATCTGATTCATCCTACACTGGTCCTCAGCCACAAGCAACTGCACCCCCAAATGCATTTGGAAGCAAGTCAGACTTTCACAGTAACCACTTTGACCATCCCTCATCGTTTGGTCATGATAGAAATGCCTACGATGAAGCTCACCCTGACATCTCTCAAGACGTTGATGTCCCGAGTCAGGCATACGCTCCTGTCGAATCATCCCTCGACTCCTCTTCCCATGGAGGTGTCCCTAGGGACATTTACGATGTTCCAGCATCACAGCCCTTCCACGGCTAAGTCACACACCCTTACACCACGCCTAGAAGTTTAGCGGCCGCATCCTTTATTTGAACGGTGATGTATCCAGTGACAAGGTAGCCTTTCAGTCTCACAACATTCATCTATATTGAATAACAAACAAAGAACAAACGGAAATAATGAATGATCTTTATTTCTTTCGATGCCTGGTTACTTTCAAGTGTACGAATATTTGTGAGTAAATGTCATGTTAATTTACCAATGGGAATAAACATATGACGCACATATATAGAATTAGAACATACAATACATGGTTCAAAGGATGAACCCGGCCAGCAGGTTATGGTTTGTAATATGTTGCATAACTATCTTTACTGTGACATTTGTATACATCAATGTTTACAGTTTATTGTGATGTTGCAAAATAAAAAATGTGAAAATAAACTTCGGGTGTTTTGTTAAACTTGTGATACGTCATGTAAATACATGATCCGTTACCAGGATTGGGTGGTTTAATTACGTCCCTTGAAAAGAAAGTATACTCTTCAAATTTGAATTTGACCACAAATAATAAATACAACCGTTATCAATACGCTACTGGGCTGAAAACAGCCTAAAAAACATTAAACACATTAGGCCTAAAACACTGTGACATCAACACCAGACACATCACCATCGATTAACCGTTTCTTGTTTTTGTTTCATTTTTTAGCCACCATCAAACATGGGTGTATACTTCATTTTGCCCAGCAGTAAAAATAACAAAACATGACATGACAGATTAATTGTGGTACTATGAAAGAATCGGGTGTTCTTTAAATTCTTTTGAGTAGAATAATATTGAATATATATCATCCACGGGAATAACGGATGCATCGTGATACAAGAAAACCAGAAACAATCTACTGACTTCAATAAACAAGTAATGTACACGTATCTGTCTGCATACGCAGCACATAAGTGAGGAAACCAGCCCTCGTGCGAAAGAAAACAAAAACGTCCGGATGTCCGCTGGTCTTGTTTAAAAACATTTAACTTATTTTAGGATGACAGATCGAACACCTTATTCATAAGTTAATAGAAAAATAGAACAAAATGGGTTAGTTCGCATTTTATTTGTAGGGGCGGGCGTGTAGCCTAGTGACTAAAGCGTTCGCTCGTCACGCCGAAGACCCGGGTTCAATTCACGACATGGGTACAATGTGAAGCCCATTCCTGGTATCCCCTGTGTTATTGCTGAAATATTGCTCAAAACGGCGTAAAACCATACTCACTCACTCACAATTCACATATTATAACTGTATCAAGTGCATTTTTCCTACTCCGAATGCCTTTCACCAAGTGAATTTTCATGGCGCAACTTGACTATTACCCAGGTCAGTGGTTTAGTGTGCGCTCGGTTTTCATTCTCAGCTTCCTTGGGAGTATACAACCCAAGCTGCCGATGGTGGGTGAACAGAGCCATGCGACGAACAAATTCACTTGCCTTAGGAGACTTCAGTGACTGTATGTGGTTCAGTGTGGGGCAGTGCCGGCACCCTAGAAACTCAACACGGTCACCCATCCAACGACTCTTCGCCACCTATGTTGGTCAACTTCTTCTGATTTTGGACCTGTGCGCTGTGCCCTTGACCACGTGCCACCGTCGATTTTACTATAGAGACACGGCACATTAACATACAGCGAGTATGTTCACTGAGTTTGAACCCAAAACAAATTCCCTAAATTTCATTGAAACCTCTGATTGACCAATCAAAATCGAGTATATTCCCAATTCAAGGTCCAATTGATATTAGCCCCTAATTTTCGACGATTTGACCTTTAGTCTAGAATTTTCGACGCATTGGCGTTACACTGTGGATTGACTTACACGACAGTTCGAATTGCGCAGTAATCAAAGTCATACTAGCAGACACCCTTTCGAAGATTTGGCTGTTGATAAATGTTCAGTTGAAAATTGTCACATACAGTAAACTACGCATATAACGAACACGCTTAAAACGAACTGACGGATATAACGAACTGTTTTTTGGCCCCGTCCATTTGCTGTATATATACTGTAAATGTGCTTATAACGAACTACGGTTATAACGAACTAAATTTAGTGACCCCTTTGAGTTCGTTATAACCGTAGTTTACTGTAAATTAGTCTGATGTTTGTTCATTGTCATCCTCCTTCTCAGCAACAACATTGTAAGGGTTCTCTTCGACAGGTTTAGGAGTCGTGTTCTCGTAGATGTTGTCAACCAATGACTTGTCTTCCGTGTTGCCGTTCAGGTGGTCGTAGGCGACGTCACGCTTGTCCTCATCAGTGTCCCGTGAAGCCGACTCCGTGGTGTCGTACGCCGAGTTGTCCGTGCCGATTTTGACCATACCGACCAAACATTTGTCATAACCATCACCCTTGTCCTGGTCAACTATCACGTGGCGAAGGTGATCATAGACGCCGACAGCAGACACGGATGGTGGCTCGTCGGCGAACTTGATGCGGTCGTATATGGGTTCGTCGGTTGATTTAGGTGGAGGGCGGACCTGGAGGGTCACAGACTTCTCAGAGGTTGTGTCAGGCTGTTGGATTGTCACGTTAAGTGTTTCACTGCAACCGCTCTGGGCGCGGAGCCTCCGCTCGACAGCTTCCTTGGAACAAGAGGCGTTCAAGGGAATTGTCTGAAGGTATTTTGTGACATTCGCCCTGGAATATAAGGGGTTAAATATATAAATCAGGAGTCACTGATATATACTACTAAATCTATGGTTAAGGACCACTCGATTATTTTAAATTACCATACTAGTTAATGTGTCATGGCATGGCAGATTAAGTACACTCAGTTATATGAGTGAGTGAGTGAGTTGGATTTAACGCCACTTTTAACAGTATTCCAGTTATATCGCGGCGTGTCAGTGAGGAAAGTGATGCAGGTCTCAGACGTTTACCACTTCGGTGAAACCCACGAGCACGGGTATGGTGCTGACAAACCTAGAAACATAATCGGGGCGAACCGGGATTCGAACCCACAATCATAGGTTTCTGGCGTGCCCAAGGGACGCAACTCTGCACAGCGAATCGCGGCGCCTTAGACGACTGGGCCACCCGTGCCCCCAAGTAATATGAAAAACTCGAGCGTTCCCTAACTGTTTTAGCAGCATTCCACAAACAACTTTGGCTTGGTGAAAACACAATTCATTTATTTGCTGAGGTTACATCTCATCCGAAGACTTGTCACAAATAATACGTGCATCCTGATTGTTCCAGAAAGGCAATTTCTTTGAAAGGCATTTAAAATTTTGAAGTTGGGGTACAAAGGATAAGAATTTATGGATGAACAACTTCTTTATTACAAGTAAGAGCGACGTTTCGGTGTAGGTTCTAACACCGTTATCCAGCAAGTGCTTGCTTGATAACGGTGTTAGAACCTACCCCGAGTTACGCCATTGCTCAGCTAGTGTTGATGTGACTCGGTTCCTAACAGCAAAGCTTGCATTCGTCACCACTCGCTCCTTTCCGTAACCTGAAAGAAGACTCGTAACCCTATCGATAAATGTTATGTGCGAAAATACGACAAACCAATCAGAATGCGCGTATGATTTCAAGATCTTCGTCAAAGAATCCCTGAGAAATAATTTTTGAATTTACATATGGCTTGCATCTAAAAATATACCCAAGACACAGTTAAATATGTTCAAGCATACTGTATAATTCCGCATGTCCCGATGTGCTTTAAATTGCATCTGAAATATACATAATATACGGGGAAATATATATGAACCCTTACGCAAAGATTTGACAATTGTTTTAGGTATGCCCGTTTACGCTAAGACGGAACCCGGTCACAAAAATGGCCACGAGAGGGGCACGAGTCGCTGTTCGGCTTGTCCCGGAATAACACGAGTTGGTCACGAATGCTTGAGCTTGGTGATGGGTGAAAGGTTGTTATCGGCCTGTGTGCAAAACCCCTGTCCGATATCATCTCGGGTACCGTCAGTCTTTCTGAACTATTTTTTTACTTAATTACACAAAAGTATAAGAAAGTGAGTTGTATTCAGAAAGAGTAAATCAACAATACAAACTTGAACACCAATATGTAATTTGATGACATACTGCCCCATGGTGATTTAAAATGGCCAAATGACTTGTACAAACAGTATTACGTTTAAAGTGTTAACGCTCCATACAGACGTAACAGCGCTACTAGTGAGTGAGTGAGTATGGTTTTACGCCGCTTTTAGCAATATTCCAGCAATATCACGGCGGGCGGGCGGGCGGGGGGGAGACACCGGAAATGGGTTTCACACATTGTACCCATGTCGGGAATCGAACCCGGGTCTTCGGCGTGACGAGCGAACGCTTTAACCACTAGGCTACCCGACCGCCCCAACAGCGCTACCAGCTCGGGTAGGTGTTGACAGACTGGATGGTTGTAGATGGAAATTATGTTGAAAACTTACCGCCTCTTCCAAATTATGACACCAGCCAAAACTGCAGCTAGGACCAACAGCACACCCACGCCCCCTATCACCGCCGTCACAGAGGCATTATCTGAAACGTCACAAAATGGATCAGTGGGTGAATTATGTTTTACGCCGCATGCAGCAATCTGCAAGTTAGTGGTTGATAGCATGAGCAACGATCACGCAGTCGGGACATGTGAGTTCGATCCCACACTTTAACCACCTGATCCACAGATTCTGACAAGGGCGTTGTATCAGGGATCATTTTCCCCCTGATTCATTAGGTCGCCATGAGGTAGAACTACTCACTGAAAATTTAAGTAAAGTCACGCACAGCATGTTGATAAAGCACGTAATAGTTTACGGCTGAATATCAATTTATTTTGACATACTTCGATCAAAAACAACCACACCCGTGAACATCCGGGGTAGAATAGGTCTTCAGCAACCCATGCTTGCCGTAAGAGGCGACTATGCTTGTCGTGAGAGGCGCCCGGGATCGGGTGGTCAGGCTCGCTGACTGGGTTGATGCATGTCATCCTACCCCAATTGCGTAGATCGTTAATGATGGTATCAATCACTGGATGGTCATGATCAGGTCCAGACTCGATTACTAGTATTTATGTACCGCCGCCATATAGCTTGAATATTGCTTAGTGCGGCGTTAAACAGCAAACAAAAAAACAAAAAACCAGTCATGATCTATCAACTGACATCGTTCAGTGACGAAACACCCCAAAAACCGTGTTAGTTATGTATTTTCACTGTTAGTGGATATTTTAATTATCTTTTGGTAATTTGGTATGACTTTCTTCACAACTAGCTAAATTTGATATATATACCATGACAAATATACCAAATGCCCAATCATGTTAATTGTGTTATTAAATTACTGGTTATAGCAAAAATGAATTAGGAAATTATCTCAAAATTCATCAAGTACATATTCAATGGTATGAGTAAAGCCAAGTGTGTGTTTTTTTATGAACCTCCATCCGCGTGTATGTGGTGTACTCAAACATTTACAGTAGGAGTTAAAGATATGTTCATATATTTACCTGTAGTGTTGATAACCTTTCTATCACCAGAGGGCCAATCATCTCCCCACCATGCTTTGAAAAAAAACAAATTTTAACTTTTTTAATTGTAACTGTAATAATAATTATTAATTAACAAAATTGTTTATTTATACTCTATATGTCAATGATAGGAATGACAGTGTCTTACAAATGAATCAATCATTGATATCATTAGAGTAAGAATGTATCAACAGTATTGTTTTATGGTTAACAGTATGGTGTATAATACATGTGCTATACATACCATTTTCTAGAGATCCACAACGAAGTTCAAGTTCCGTGTCCTCTGAAAAAGATTATTATTAATATGTATTAATATGCGCCAAATGTGTGCTGTTTCTAACATACATAAGATAGATATAACACAATTGACCCATTTGTATAACATTGTAAATACAACACTATAACGAATGTCGCTCTTGTACAATAAATCAATTGGCGTTACTTTAATGTATAATAAATGTATAATAAGACATATGCATGTAAGCGACTAGCTACGCTGCTTTGGATCATCGATACTTGATACGGTACGAGTTCAATATTTAAAGGTCACAAAGTTATAAAGATGAAAAGCTGTAAACTTTTACACACCAGCTTCTACATGAATCCACACATATCCAGGAAGATTTTCTGGAACTATGTTCAGAAGTAGGTCAATAGGGGTCAAGGACATTCCTATATTTGTTACCGAGGAGAGGAATGTTCGTCTTCCATACGGACCACAGGTGATATTGGTGACGTGACCTCCACTCTGCCGTATGAGGACACTTGAGCATATCCCTCCAATTTTGTCGAAGCGAACATCGAGAGCGTTGATGGTGACGTTGACGGGGGTGGATGACGTTACTGGTTCCACTCTACATGAGAACTGTTTAACTTTGTCAGAGCTACGTATGTAGAGGTCAGGGTCAAAGGCAAGAAACACAGACTTTCCTCGGGTTGAGCCAACAGTGTCAAAATCAACCATTTCCGTTTCTGTGTGGAAAGAAATTGTGGTCAAGAAATCATCATAATCATTTTGAAAGTGTCAACGATTTTACCTGTACTCTATTATAAAAAAATATGAACACAATGTACTTAATTAATAACAATAACGTTTAAACTCGAAAATTCGCAAAAAATGGGTTACAATTTATATTATGTTATACTACTCAAAATAAGTTAAAGAACACCCGATTTTCTCATATGACAATAGTTTAACTGTCATATGAAAACATCGGGTGTTCTTCAACATCTTTTGAGTAGTATAAATCACAGAAACCCCGTAAGGTGGACGTTAACGCTCCCACTGAACGAAGCATTGTTAATACACCTTGTATAGGTGGGAAAAGTCGTCCGGAAAGCGGAGAGTCTGGAATATCGGGGTGTGGACTAAAAGAGGATTCACTTCAGCATGTGAGTCTTCATTAATAAGAATATTCCGTTGGCACATTTGTTAAATAAAGCTCAAGTCATGATTGTGACCCGATTGACATTTGAAATAAACTGAATAAATTTTTGTTCAAATATATAACCAAAGAGCTTTCAAGAAAGCCGTTTCAAAAAGGATATTCCAAAACAAAACTTATATCCCGTCTTGCTAAATTGACATGATGTCATTGTCACGTTACTGTTAAATACTAATATTTTAAACATCAGTATCAAAACTACATGAAAAAGCGTGAGTGAGTTAGGTTAAGGGCTCTTTTTCTACCATTTCAAATATTTCACGGCGTTGCATGAATAAAATGGGGGGGGGGGGGGGGGGGGGGGACAAAATATGCTGAATGGTTAAACGTACACTTTTGACATTACCCGTCAACATGGTAATTACAGATAGTCTTCGAACGCTAATTTAAAGCGTTGGTTAATTTCCAACCAAGGCCTACATTTTACGTTGACTATTTTCTCCACACCACACCACACTATTCACGAAAGTTACAACTCAAGGATATCACTGTGACGTATCAAGGTCACGTGTTCCTTTAGGTCTCCCAACCTTAGGGTATCGATCGATGGCTTCCTCGAAGCCGCGCCCTAGTAACATACGGCCTTCGTGGTCTAGTGAAACAGAACGTCTTCCCGGTGAGTGGAATATCAGTGGTTCGATGCCCGGCCGCTTCATACCGTAAGACGTTAAAAGTTGGCACTTGTTGTTACCTTGCCTGACGCTCGGTATTAAGGAAATAAAACTCGGACTTGTCGGCTCGTTGTCAGTATACTGTGTCAGAGTGTATTCATGTTAAAACAGTGGCATGGTATATCGGGGGCAGGGATGTGTAGAAACGGCTTCATAATTAGTCGAGACAAGAACAAGGACACACACACACTCCAGCGCACGCATGCACGCACGTACAATAAAATCCCGCCTCTACACCTGTTGACATACCTGATGACCTGATGACCTGCTTGCCGTAAAAGGCGACTATTCTTGTCGTAATAGGCGACTAACGGGATCGGGTGGTCAGGCTCGCTGACTTGGTTGATGCAATCATCGTATCCCAATTGCGTGGATCGATGCTCATGATGTTAATCACTGGATTGTCTGGTCCAGACTCGATTATTTACAGACCGCCGTCATACAGCTGTAATAGTGCTGTGTGCGGCACTTAACAACAAACAAACACAGAAAAAACAGTCATGATCTATCATACCCAAACCAAACATACCTGATATGCAGCTGAACCTGATCGACGAGAAGGATGACAGTGTACGCGTCGATAACGTGCACGCCTCCTGGACTCTGTCTGTGTAATAGGAACAGTTGTATTTGCCAGAACAGCGTTCATACAGGGACCTCATGTATATGTTCTTGAAGGGAAAGGTGCAGTCATACACGTCATCTTCTTTGCAGCAGAACTTGGTGTTGAACTTGCAGGTGTTGACGGCAATGCTTGGACAGAGAGACTCCTTCCTCTTGAAACCGTGGACAGCCGATATGATGGCCAGTCGGTCAGTCGTTCCACAGGTCAGTTCATGACGAGAACAGGGTCCCTGGCCGTAGCAGGCGTTAGACATGCCAAAATGAAAACCTGGTTTACATTAAGACATGGGTTAGTAAATGTTGGTTCACATTATGAGTGAGTGAGTATGGTTTTAAGCCGCTTTTAGCAATATTCCAGTAATATCCTGGCGGGCGACATCAGAAATGGGCTTCACACATCGTGGTGAATCGAGTCCGGGATTTCGGCGTGACGAAAGAACACATGCACTACTAGGCTACCCCAGGCTACGTCATTGATAAAATTATTGCAACCATGCTACAACATCCTGTAAAGCGGTCAAATCTGGCCCAGACAAATTTGACCTAAGGAGGAAGTGGACATGTTTTCGGGGCACCATGATATACAATCTGCCAAGTCACACACTGTAACCTCCCTATCCTCACCATCAGGCACTCGCGACAAGCAATGGGCATTCTGACCGAGTAAGACATGAGTTGGCGACGGCTGTATTATGACAGTAGTCGACGTACACCTTTAAAGGGGAAGTGTACACGCAAAAATCACTTTCTTTCTTTTTCTAAACAAAACGCAATTTTAGAATTAGTTAGTATCTGTGTTTGAAAATATACACTCATTTTTTTCACAGTGAAAGTAGGGAGCTCACAATCGTGTGAAAATGATATGGCGTTATGAGGCCTTCGTTTTTTCAAGCTAAACAGGCCTGAGTTATCTCCCTTAGATTATGACGTAATTGGTGCCATTTCAACTGGGTCCCTGTCTATTCTCAACGCAAAAGATATCAAGTACCAGTTTGCGGTAAAACAACATGGCCTACGACACACTCCGGCGCAGTGGTGACTCAGCATAACACTATGCTGGCTGGCATCTGAGACGCAAGAATCACACGCCTGTACCTACACCACGTGAAGCGGCTCTAACAAAGCATGATGACGTCATAATGTTTATCAATTGGCACCAATGACGTCATATTGAAAGGGGCATAAGCCATGGTGTTTTTGTTATAGAAATAGAACACTTGATAAATGTGAAAAATATAAATAGTTTTAATGCGAAAAATATGTTAATTAATTGTGATATTTTTATATTTTTGTCTATGACATTTCTAGGTTAACATTTTTAATGTGGAAAAAGTACAAGAAAAATAGGTTCATTTCCGTGTGAACTTGCCCTTTGAGGCCTTTGACAATGTCGAATCTGGTCCACACAAGCCAATTGCTGACAGCAGGAGAAAGTGGTCATGTTGTTGGGGTTGTGAGCTCGATATTGTCAGCAGCACGGCTCCAATGAATACTACTACAACTACTACTGCTACTACTACAACTACTACTTCTACTACTACTACTGCTGCTGCTACTACTACCACTGCTACTATTACTACTACTATTACTGCTACCACTTTCACTACCACGTCGTCTTGTACTCATACAAATACTGTTATTACTACTGCTACTTATACAACTACTACTACTACTACTACTACTACTACTACTGCCACTACCGTTACTACTTCTCCTCCTCTTACTACTACTACTACTACTACTACTACTACTACTACAGTACTACTACTACTGCTACTACTACTACTTCTGCTTCCACCACTACAATTTTAACTACTACTACTAGAAACAACTACTACTATTACTAGAGTACTAGTAGTTCCACTACAACTGCTACTCCTACAACTACTATTACTACGAATTACTAACTACTACAACTGCAACTACAACTATCACAGCTACTACTGCTTCTACTACTACCACTTCAACTACTGCTTCTACTATTGCTACCACTACTATATCTACGACTACCACTTCTACTATTACTACTGTTTCTACTACTGCTGCTACTACAACTGTACCTCATACTACTGCTACTACTACTTCTACTTCTTATAATACTTTATTACAGTTATTAACCCTGCTACTACTACTACTACTACTACTACTACTACTACTACTACTACTACTACGTTGTAATACCAACTTTGACATCACATTTTCTTTAATAATAACAACTTAAACCTATTCCTGGTGCCACTGTTGGAACAAAGGACTGCTAACGTGTATTGGATATATATCTAGATGGGCTGAAGGCCTCGAGCTTCTGTAACGCATTCAATGATCATCCACGTTCGAGGTGACTTCCTGCGGTTATATGAGAACGAGTTATTTCCTGGCCGGATGCCCCCGGGTCGCCTCACACCGTGCTGCACAGACCCATGTGACACTGGCGGTGCACAGCGTGTGACTGTGATTATGACGCCTGACCCACATGTGACAGGTCTGACTACACACTGTACGCATTCTGAGGACTGTGTGTTTGTTTGGTGTTTAACGCTGCACTCAGCAACATCCCAGCGATCTGTAATTAATCGAGTCTGGACCAGACAATCAAGTGATTGACATCATGAGCACCGCATGTGATCGATTAAATGCATCAACCAGGGCAGCGAGCCTAAACACCTGATCCCTTCAGTCGCCTCTAAGACAAGCATGGGTTGCTTACCAAATCTGACCCGGATCTTCACATGTCTTCTGTATTTGTATTTCAGTTCTCAGAAGACCCGTGAAGATCCGGGGTAGAATTAGTCTTCAGCAACCCATGCTTGCCGTACAAGGCGAGTATGCTTGTCGTAAGGGGCGACTAACGGGATCGGGTGGTCAGGCTCGCTGACTTGGTTGAAGCATGTCATCGTATCCCAATTGCGTGGATCGATGCTCATGATGTCATATACTGGACTGTCTGATCTTTCAGACCGCCGTCATATAGCTCGTCATATATGCTTAGTGCGTCGTTAAACAACAAACAAACAAAAAATAATGGTGTCAGTCAGTGCCGTGTCTGGTTCAGACATTTATTAATAGCTAGCCGTCATATAGCTGAAATATTGAGTGCGGCTTTAAACAAGAAACAAACTGATAGTTATGTGAGATTGTCAGGCCAAACATGTTAAAACCGGACAATGTTGTGCATTAAAATGTGAAGAAACAACTACCAGATAGCTAACTGTTCAAAATCGTTAAAGCAGTGTGGCACATACAAAAACATACACTTTGTTGGTTATGAGATTCACATGAAATATCCCATGTATGGGCTGGTTCTTTGTTCAGATTAGACCTAGTTTTATATTAGACGACAATAATTAACAATGATGACCATTCCCCAACACTGAATCTTTGTCAATTACCAAGATTGTCAGAAGGGATGCAAGCGTGACAATTCGAAAGCAAAGTCCGCATATTTCTCATGTTTTCCCGAATCTTGTCAATGACATTTGTGCCAAAAGGGACTGAAATTCAGTGATAAAACTGATTTCACTGGATTTATCAAAAAGGACAAGATCAATCTGTTGGCCTGAATAGGTCTGAGACTGTATACGGGCCTATTCCAAATACGTTTATATTTACTATTTTCCATGACGCCTTCTACATATTCTGGGTCGTACAATGGATGGACATTTGTGTCAAAACCACAAGCATGGCGAAGACATAAAAAAAAGGATCGAGACACTCCATCATGTCGCTCAGGCTGTGTTTGTGCCAAAGCTGGGCATCCACTGACAATGTGTTGGACAGTCTCATTAAATTCATTGCATAATCTATTTCATATTGGCATTTTGATGCAAAATCACACATTGACGGTTTCGAGCGGGAAGTGACTGGTCCGGAGCTGCAAACATGAGCAATTTTTGTTTCACTTTTCAGGCCAGCCGACTTCATCCATGCGAAGGCCTCTGCATGATTGCTCTGTTTCTCAACACACAGCAAATAAACTCGATGCAGTGGTTGTTCAGTGCGCCTCTCCTTGAAAAACTGAGTATTGGACCGATTTGATATCGCACTTCACTTGGTTGACGCTCATTTCTGTAACGTCCAGCAGTACAGAACCATCAACAAAATCTTCATTGACATTGAGGTTATGTCCCACATCCTTGGCTCGTTTAAGTAAACTGAGGAATGCCTTGTTTTCACCATGATTCATGAGTCATGACATGCTTCACGAGAGAATTCTCAGACCAATAAATGTGTGCAAAGCTGCACGATACAATTCTATGATAAAGAGCTTCCACGTTAATCGAAGCACGCTCTCCCGTTATAATTGATGAAATAAGCGAGGGTGGTATATTTGATTTTCACTGTAGACATGTTCAGATATGTACTTGACTGTATACTGTAGACATGTTCTGATATGTACTTGATTTACAATGTAGACATGTTTGGATATGTACTTGACTGTACAATGTAGACATGGTCTGATATGTACTTGACTGTACAATGTAGACATGTTCAGATATGTACTTGACTTACAATGTAGACATGTTCAGATATATACTTGACTGTACACTGTAGACATGTTCAGATATGTACTTGACTGTACACTGTAGACATGTTCAGATATATACTTGACTAGCAATGTCGACATGTTCAGATATGTACTTGACTTACAATGTAGACATGTTCAGATATGTACTTGACTTACACTGTAGACATGTTCAGATATGTACTTGACTGTACACTGTAGACATGTTCAGATATGTACTTGACTAACAATGTCGACATGTTCAGATATGTACTTGACTTACAATGTAGACATGTTCAGATATGTACTTGACTTACACTGTAGACATGTTCAGATATGTACTTGACTGTACACTGTAGACATGTTCAGATATGTACTTGACTGTACACTGTAGACATGTTCATATATGCATTTGACTTACAATGTAGACATGTTCAGATATATACTTGACTTACAATGTAGACATGTTCAGATATGTACTTGACTGTACACTGTAGACATGTTCAGATATGTACTTGACTGTACAATGTAGACATGTTCAGATATGTACTTGACTGTACAATATAGACATGTTTAGACATGTACTTGACTGTACACTGTAGACATGTTCAGATATGTACTTGACTTACAATGTAGACATGTTCAGATATGTACTTGACTGTACACTGTAGACATGTTCAGATATGACTTGACTTACAATGTAGACATGTTCAGATATACATTTTGCAAATAGGTTTAAGGTTTCTTAAGATATACATGCTAACCAGCTGCTCACTTTAATATACCAATTAACAACTGGAACGACAGACGCACATATTCGGAATGGAAAAGGATCTAACGAATGCTAGAATGATAGATAAGATAGATAGAAGGATTGGTAGAAGAAAGTATTGAAGGATATGCATGACATATCGACGATTGATAGACGGATACACATAAGGATTGGTAGAGGTCAATATAGAACGATGTATAATGGCATATAGAAGATTGACAGACTTGTAGAAGAAAATACAGAATGGTAGAACGACAGATAAGATAATAGACGGATAGAAATATGATTGGTAGAAGGAAATATGGAAGAGTATTCTAATACAAAGGAGAGCTTGACGAATAGATGTGTGGATTGTAGAAGGATAAATCAACGGGTAGAATTACACATCGAAAGGTACTGACAGATCGAAGGAATGACATACAAGTGTGAGATCCATCGAGGCATACACACATGAGCTAACGTTGTCGTATCGCTACAAATTATTGATATTAATTTCGTGAGACACATTGAGTAAACGTATGAAACTTATTTAACAATGCTTACCTGAACTTTGCCAAAATACTGCAAAAAGTATCACAATAACACAAGTGTCCATTGTTATGAGTTGCGGTGGGTGTTTATGTTTTATGGACAGACCTCTGATCCCAAGCTGAAGACGGAAGCATGACCCTGGGGCTACTGTGGCATGCGTTCAACTTTCCTCCTAATTAGTCCCCGTGAGCACCAAGTGCTTGACTCTGAGTCAGTGCTGTATTTATAGAAATGACTTCGTCTGGGAGGACGAATGCACGTGAGGAATGACGTGACGTGGTTTGTTTTGTTTTTTTACGAATAAATAAACATTAAAGAAAACAACAATATGATATTTGAAAATCCCATTTAAGAAATAATGAGTGAGTGAGTGAGTGAGTGAGTGAGTTGGGTTTAACGCCGCTTTTAACAGTATTCCAGTTATATCACGGCGTTTCAGCTTAATGTGGGAGGAAAGCCCCAAGCGATGCAGGTCTCAGGCGTTTACCAATTCGGTGAAACCCACGAGCACGGATATGGTGCTGACAAACCTAGAAACATAATCTGGATTCGAACCCACAATCATAGGTTTCTGGCGAGCCCAAGGGACGCAACTCTACACATCGAATCGCGGCGCCTTAGACGACTGGGCCACCCGTGCCCACCATTTAAGAAATAATTCCCACTTGACAGTATATGCGGAATATTATTTACAAGGGAAACGAAACTGTGGATATATACTTATGATTCATATACAATTTCGCCACTACGTACTTTTGTTTTTAATATTTAAACGCCAGTTTGCGTTAGCTTTGGCCCGTTCATGTGTTTGTAAGGTTTAAAATCAAACAGAGTTCATTTAAATGCTGCAAGTCTGTGCTATTTTGTCAGTGAAAGCGACAAAATCATTTCCATGATCATAAGAAATCTCCACAAAAGTCAATTGTACAAATGCGCTTGTAAAATCTCTGTACACAATCTGTTTATTCTTAATTCCCATTACTCAGGAACTGCCGTTTCAAGGACATCGATGTTTAAGTTTAAAGAGGTTCTATCGTTTTGACCCAAATGAACGTATACAAAAACGTCTTCAACGTTCTGTATAACAAACACTGCCTGTCTTGACAAGCACTTGTTGGCAGCACTGTTGGCAGACTAAACAATCTCAGGAGCCATATACCTTTATAATAAACAGTATAAATAGTATCTCTTTGTAGTTGTGACCAGTGTTATTATTTATGGTCCCACGTTACGTGTGTCTGGTTGCGTACAGCATGACGACCTGCACACATAAACATAAAACGTCAACGTCACAGAATGAAACGTCAACGTCAGAGAATTACCGTCTCGATTATCCGCCGAAACAGATTCCATTGGGGGTAAAAGGTAACACAGAGGTGAGAACTATATGAATGGATCACCGAAAATCAGAGATGACACCAGTTGCTCGCGAGAAGGGTAAGCATACACTGCCATCACCGCTCACACAATTTTGTTTCGCTGTGCAGAGTTGCGTCCCTTGGGCACGCCAGAAACCTATGATTGTGGGTTCGAATCCCGGTTCGCCCCGATTATGTTTCTTGGTTTGTCAACACCATACCCGTTTCACCGAAGTGGTAAACGTCTGAGACCTGCATCACTTCGGGCTTTCCTCCCACATTAAGCTGACACGCCGTGATATAACTGGAATACTGTTAAAAGCGGCGTTAAATCCAACTCACTCACTCACTCACACAATTGTCATATGCGTTTGCTGCCTGACGAATGATAAAACGATAGAACAATGTGTATGACACAAATTTATTAACAATTGACTATCTACAAGATAAATGTCTATTTAAAATTTTTTGCATTTCTTTGCATTCATATGTACATGTGTGACATCTCAAAATGCCTTTTTGATGATTGACATGTGACTTGAGTCTATAGGGATTTATTATATACACTGCATCATGTTCAAAGCAATATAATTCACTCGCTAATGGTATTGGATGAAACACATTTTTGCGCTATGTACATTATTATGAGGTATAGCATGTGCATCTTTGTGGCTTTGTCATCGGGATATTAACCACAGCCATCAAACCACCACGATGTCGGTTTTAGCTACATTTCAATCTTTGAGCAACCTCAAATATATCAACATTAAGTTATGCAATTCTTTCAAAATAAACTAAAAAGGTAACTTACGTGAACAAGTAAGATAGTATAATTAAAACATTTAATTCTTTAATCACACCATCATAGATGAATGAGTGAATATTTCAGTAATATCGCGGTACAGTAAACTACGGTTATAACGAACATGCTTATAACGAACTGACGGATATAACGAACTATTTTTTGGGTTCTGTCTATTTGCTATATATATATATTCCGTACATTTGCCTATAACGAACTACGGTTATAACGAATTAAAATTAGTGGTCCCATTCAGTTCGTTATAACCGTAGTTTACTGTCTGTCATTTTACTGTTGGGAGTAAGCACAAATTTTGTATATAGCAAGTAGACTTAGATGACACCAACAAGAACTGATTAAGTGACGACAGGCAAGGACATGAATCGCTTTGAATCTGGAACTGGACTCATTCCTAGTGGATTCTGTCATGGTTTAGAACGCAAAGTCTTACAGTGAAGGGGGGGTCGGGTAGCCTAGTGGTTAAAGCGTTCGCTCGTCACGCCGATGACCCGGGTTCGATTCCCGACATGGGTACAATGTGTGAAGCCCATTGCTGGTGTCCCCCGCCGTGATATTGCTGGAATATTGCTAAAAGCTGCGTAAAACCATACTCACTCACTCACTTACAGTGAAAACGCGATTCCCTTAACCCCCAAGCAATCCGTCCCCCTATCTACGGCACTGAGTTCATGGTTTTGTTACGTGTGAATATTGTTTGACGCCGCAGTCAGCTCTACTCCAGCTGTATCACACGGAGTCTTGTAATACAGACTGGGCTTGCCGAACTAGTGACTGGAATCACAGACAATTATCCAGGGGTTGGTATCACGCAGTCAGCTGACAAACACGCCGACCACCTGATCCCCACTGTAGTAAGTTCTTACGTCTCGCATAGGTGAGTGAGTGAGTATGGTTTTACGCCGCTTTTTGCAATATTCCAGCAATATCACGGCGGGGGACACCAGAAATGAGTTTCACACAAAGTACTCATGTTGGGAATCGAACCCGAGCCTTCAGCGAGACGAGCGAACGACTAAACCACTCGGCTACCGACTCATGAGGTAAAGAGGATATAATCTGAGTACATATGTGAATGCTATTGTTGCATGTTTGCCTCTGCAGGCAGAGGGACTCCAGTTAATAATGCATGTTTTGGACGAGTACGGGTATGATGCAGACAAACCATTAAAAGAAACATAATCAGGGATTCGAACTTAGACATTCAGCAAATTTCACTTTCCACTCTTGCTATTCGCCAACATGAAGAGAGCAGAAATATTTTTCACGCATTGTACCCATGCGGGGAACTGAAACCAGTGCCTTCGGCGTGATGAGAGGTCGCTTTCGTCCCTAGGCTACCCATTAACTCCGAAATACTCTTGAAATACCGCTGGCAATCACACTTGGATACCTTGTTGTGAATGGGGACCTGTGATTTTGTATCGAGGTTAGATATTTTTCAGCTTCAGCTAACAAAAGCAGATATAATTCATATGTAAAACGACGTTTTATTTTAAAAGAAATACACCTTGCAACAATGTAATTTTTTTGTGGCAGGCAATTTCTTTTTTCAGTCTGAATCATAAGTATTTTGTTCACAGAATTTTCTCTGACAATTGTTTTTCTAAAATCACTTGAACTTTTAGTTCATGTATATCCCTATTATACATTAAGTCATTCAAATATTACAAATATTGTAACACAATACAAAAAAAGACAAATCCCTAACGCACACAACCATTTATCACAATTTGTGTTTCCTATCAAAATATTTTTAAGCTTTCAACTGTTGTCTTAAACCCTGGGTTGTCGTAAAAATCTCCCGAAGGATTGTCCGAACTGCTATATGGCTTTCCAGCATTTGTGTACCCGTCTGAGTCTCTCGGTTGGCTTACTCGGGGCGGGGACGTATTAGGACCGCCATCAGAGGACGCAAGCAGTGCCCTTTCCTTTCTCCCCATCTGCCTGCCTCCACTCCGGCTGGTTGGCGTCTTTAGCGGGCTGTTATTGCTGGAGTTGTTTCCCTTGTGACCTTGACCTGGAGATGGTCCTCCTCTGGACGTGTCGTCTCTTTCCCTGTCTCCATCCGTCTTGTCCCACGAACGTTCTTCTCCATCGGGGATGTTGCGTTCTTCCTCAACTTTTCTACTTTGGTAACGCCTGTATCTTGAAGGAAAACATGGTCACAGCTTCAGGTCTGGGAGAGCGTAAAGAGAATATTCAAATCAAATCCCCAATCTGCAATTAGCATAAACCAAGATAGACTACGTTTGCATATGTGTATATTCAGGCAAAACAGGCAAAACAAAAGATTAATAATTACATAACAGCTATAATTGTGTTTCGTACTGACTATCATGTTTGTTTGTATTGTTTAACGCCGCACTCGGAAATCTTCTAACCATATGACCTCAGTCAGTAAATAATCGACATCATTTGTGTCAATCTGCGCAACTGGGATACGATGACATGCATCAACCAAGTCAGCGAGTCTGACCACCCGATCCCGTTAGTCGCCTCTTACAACAAGCATAGTCGTCTTTTACGGCAAGTATGGGTTGCTGAAGACCCATTCTACCCCGGATCTTCATGGGTCTCAGCAATATGTATTGCAGACACATGTGGACATTAAAAGTAATCCAAATAAGTTCAACGCATATATTAACCTGTTATAACACATGACAATTCTTATCTATTTTCCATTCCAGCAATCAAAGGTCATGCCTTTGGTGTCATGAATCGTGACATTTGTGGATGCCCTTACCCTCTGTTAGCAAACCGCGGCTCGCCAAAGTGAATACTCTACATCAAATGACAATAATTGTGCCATCATTTGACCGACTAAATAAGCGTTTCAATTTCCATGGGAAGAATAGACTTCATTTGAAAACGCGACCCATTAAGTAGTTATTTTCCGTTTAGAATAACGAATACTGAGTGAAACATTGAGCTCCTAGTGTCAATGAAGAGACATATTCAAAACATATCAGAAATCATATCACAATTTTTCAATTATCATTATGATAATAACTTGTTAGAAGGAACGATTTCCCGAGTCTTCTGTCCGCCGCAATTTGTTGTCTAGAATTTTGCTTCCCGTTAGCGTGACATAGCTATGATACTGGGTTCGAATCCCGTTCGCCCTGGTTTGTTTCGAGGTGTGTAGGCACCATGCCCGTGCTCTTTGATTTGTCTAAGTGATATACGTCTAAGACCTCACTTCCGGCTTCCCCAAACACCCCCGTGCTATCTTGAAATATTATTGTTCAAAGCGGCGTTAAACCAAACTAACTCACCCAGAGACAACTGGAAAGTATGTATCTTGTAATCTCTAAATGGACTGCAATGCACACTCGGGCATTAAGTAATAATGAGACATGGTTGGTGTATCTGACCTTCTCCTGCGGTAGCACAGGACGGCGACGATGACGATGATGATGAGAATCAACAGCAGGAGGCCGGTGGCAACCCCGCCGTAAGTTGCAGCGGAGTTGGATCCCGAGGCTGGAAGACCAAATATTAAAAGAAAGAAAGAAAAATTATATAAACTGACGGGTAAAAAGAAAGTATACATTGAAAACTTTTTCTGACCAACAATTTACACACGCTATCCAAACGTTAATTGACTGAAAACATTGCAAACATGGCCCGAAACACAACTATAATATCCGTATCAATTACATCACCGTTCTAATAACCATTTCCTCCTTGTTGCATTATTAGCGATCACCAAATATGGGTGGAGACATTTTGCCCGGTAGTTTACGTCTTTTAAACACATCCTCTAACAGGAAGTGATGAAATTTTCGTTACAGTGCCACCATGAGTATGAATACTTTTTACCCGTTCCGACACATTTGTGACGTGGGCAATGGTTGTACAAGACAATGAACGACTTCTCTTTTTCCATATCAAAGGTCATATATGCATCAGTCCAGCAGGTTCGTTGTGGTTAAAAGTGGAAAAATGTACGAAGAAATCTCTGCTGTATTGAAATTGTTTTTGCCTCGGCCGGTTTATGAAATATCAAGTAGCATCACACGATAAAAACTGGGTATCTTGGTGTATCTTGAAAGAGACAGCGGAAGGACACAATATGAACCTGCATTTGAGTATGATTTTGATGGCATTCTCTATAGACATGAACACTAAGTACAGAATAACTTTCTTGTATTTATTTTGTTTTTTGTTCGTTCTGTAACTGAGAGTGAATCGGATTCAAACACTTGAATTATGACTCTTGCTATTAATGTGTTTGATTACTCAAGGCTTTGGTAAAGCCTTTTAAAAGGTTCAACAGTGTAGACACGTTAAGACCATTTCCAAATCTGAATTTAGTGAAAGCGAGAGAATAGGGTCAGACAAGGGTCAGACAGGGGTCAGACAATGGTTTTATTGTATCATCAATCTTCTTTGGCATCACACATAATAGTTGATGTCCTGACGCATTAAGTAAAATAATGAAGTGATTTGCATGTTTTTAAAGACAACAAGCAACAAGTAAGATTTTACGCACTCAATCGGGACACAAAATGTCTTATGAGGTGTTTTACATACATTTTACGACTGTGGCACCTTCTTCTGTTTCCGGCACTGAGTTTGATACAGCTGCTGAAGTCACGGCTTGGGAGCTGGGTGACGTGTCGCTGTTCGTTCTACTCGGCTCGGGAGTTGAATCCGGTTCTGGTTTCGTCTCTGGCAACGGCTCTGATGTTTGTGACGTTGACGGAGAAGGTGTGCTTGACGGTATGCTTGCCACTGGTGAAAGCATTTGAATATTTGTCATGATCACAAGCCTCAAAAGGGGTCAACATGGCATATTGCCATCGTGATTTTTTAGAGTTATATACTTCAAAAGTGAGGCTCTGCCGATATTAAGTCTGTCAATTCTATGTTTAAAAAAATGAATCACGAAGCCTTGTCAGAGCATTATAAAAAAAATTGATATTCCTAAGTGTAATATTTACGAGACGTAAATACAGGAGGTAAATAATCGTTTCATTATAATGTCATTCTTGGAGGAATTATATCTAAGCGTGAGAAATGGAAGTATGATGGACAACCGCTTGTGTGTGTACCTTTATAGAAATGCTTAGGATTAACGTTTAGGGGCTGTCGGGTAGCCTAGTGGTTAAAGCGTTAGCTCGTCACGCCGAAGACCCGGGTTCGATTCCCGACATGGGTACAATGTGTGAAGCCCATTTCTGGTGTCCCCCGCCGTGATATTGATGGAATATTGCTAAAAGCGGCGTAAAACCATATTCACTCACAAGGATTAACGTTTACTAAATCTCTATCATGGCCAAAACACGTAAAACACACTTCCTTGCAAGCTAAGAAGATTCTTCATGGTGTGTTAAAAGTTTATCAATACTTAAACCATTACCATTTCATTTATTTTGCAAAATATTTGACACCAATATGAGCCCAATTTTACGTTTTGGTACACATATGCAAACGTAGTCTATCTTGGTTTATGCTAATTGCAGATTGGGGATTTGATTTGAATATTCTGTACATATGTTGGCCTGTATCCGCTTCCTGACTGTACAATCTACAACTTCAAATCATGTTGCTAGTGGTGAATGTGAAAGATACCCACTATATATTTATGCCTGTAAACGCGTTGTAAAATATTGGTGTAAAATTTTATATATGCCTGTCTCAAGGTTTTTGAGAAAATCCATACAAAATGCTGTTCACAATGGTTAAACAATCTGGGTTGGTTGGTTGTTTTACACCGCACTCAGCAATATTCCAGCTGTTTGACGGCATTAATGTATTAATGTCGTCCACTGACGAATACCCGATCAAAGACCTATCAATGTACATCTGTAAAGAAATGAGTCCCCGACTACCTGTATTACCTTTGTATCATGGGCCTATGGCATTCAATATTGAATGTACCAAGTTGTTTGATTGATATCTTTCTTAAAATATTCGTTCTTCAAGGTGTAACTTCAATCAATTGGGTAACTTTAGAAAGCACATATGAATAGAATCTTTGAGTGACCCTCCCCATTTATCATATAGTGCCAGAATGTAAACCCCAGTTTACACCTAAGGAGAAAATAATGGTCAATACTTTAGTGAGCAAGAATGCACTGTATCCATGTATAGAACATGAAAGTAGTTCCTCCTTGATTGGTTGGTTGGTTTGTTGTTTGACGCCGCACTCAGCAATATTCCAGCTATATGACGGCGGTCTGTAAATAATCGAGTCTGGACCAGACAATCCAGTGATTGACATCATGAACATTGATCTACGCAGTTGGGATCGATGACATGCATCAACCAAGTCATCGAGTCTGACCACCTGATCCCGTTAGTCGCCTTTTACGACACAGCGAAGTCGCCTTTTACGGCAAGCATGGGTTGCTGAAGACCTATTCTACCCTGGATCTTCGTGGGTCAAATCAAACTGGGCCTCTAAAGATTGAAACTATCATACAATCAGGATTGGCATGGGGCGTTAACTGATAGCAGAAGTCATATAAATTTAACTTCAATACCAAATACTTTATCTCAGCCCTTACATGTCATAAATTTAGAAACGCGATGGCACACGTTAGTTGCAGTTTCCATCACCTAAGAATTGAATCAGGAAAATGTTCCAAAGAAAAGAGAGAAGATAGAATTTGTGTTATTTGTAAACCGAACTATATAGAAGGCGAATATCATTTTATTTTGATGTGTTAAACATATGATGATCTTAGAGCAAACCTAATAGCACAACATATTATACCTATGCTACTAGACACACGTTTAATGTATTAATGTCGTCCACTGACGAATACCCCATCAAAGACCTATCAATGTACATCTGTAAAGAATATCATTTTATTTTGATGTGTTAAACATAATTATGATGATCTTAGAGCAAAACTAATAGCACAACATATTATACCTATGCTATTAGACACACGTTTAAAGTATTAATGTCGTCCACTGACGAATATACCATCAAAGACCTATCAATGTACACCTGTAAAGAATATCATTTTATTTTGATGTGTTAAACATAATTATGATGATCTTAGAGCAAGACTCATAGCACAACATATTATACCTATGCTACTAGACACACGTTTAATGTATTAATGTCGTCCACTGACGAATACCCCATCAAAGACCTATCAATGTACACCTGTAAAGAATATCATTTTATTTTGATGTGTTAAACATAATTATGATGATCTTAGAGCAAAACTAATAGCACAACATATTATACCTATGCTACTAGACACACGTTTAATGTATTAATGTCGTCCACTGACGAATACCCCATCAAAGACCTATCAATGTACATCTGTAAAGAATATCATTTTATTTTGATGTGTTAAACATAATTATGATGATCTTAGAGCAAAACTAATAGCACAACATATTATACCTATGCTATTAGACACACGTTTAAAGTATTAATGTCGTCCACTGACGAATATACCATCAAAGACCTATCAATGTACACCTGTAAAGAATATCATTTTATTTTGATGTGTTAAACATAATTATGATGATCTTAGAGCAAGACTCATAGCACAACATATTATACCTATGCTACTAGACACACGTTTAATGTATTAATGTCGTCCACTGACGAATACCCAATCAAAGACCTATCAATGTACATCTGTAAAGAATATCATTTTATTTTGATGTGTTAAACATAATTATGATGATCTTAGAGCAAAACTAATAGCACAACATATTATACCTATGCTACTAGACACACGTTTAATGTATTAATGTCGTCCACTGACGAATACCCCATCAAAGACCTATCAATGTACATCTGTACAGAATATCATTTTATTTTGTTTTGTTAAACATAATTATGATGATCTAAGAGCAAAACTAATAGCGCAACATATTATACCTATGCTACTAGACACACGTTTAATGTATTAATGTCGTCCACTGACGAATACCCGATCAAAGACCTATCAATGTACATCTGTACAGAATATCATTTTGTTTGATGTGTTAAACAGAATTATGATGATCTTAGAGCAGAACTAATAGCACAACATATTATACCTATGCTATTAGACACACGTTTAAAGTATTAATGTCGTCCACTGACGAATACCCCATCAAAGACCTATCAATGTACATCTGTACAGAATATCATTTTGTTTGATGTGTTAAACAGAATTATGATGATCTTAGAGCAGAACTAATAGCACAACATATTATACCTATGCTATTAGACACACGTTTAAAGTATTAATGTCGTCCACTGACGAATACCCCATCAAAGACCTATCAATGTACATCTGTACAGAATATCATTTTGTTTGATGTGTTAAATAGAATTATGATGATCTTAGAGCAGAACTAATAGCACAACATATTATACCTATGCTATTAGACACACGTTTAAAGTATTAATGTCGTCCACTGACGAATACCCCATCAAAGACCTATCAATGTACATCTGTACAGAATATCATTTTGTTTGATGTGTTAAACATAATTATGATGATCTTAGAGCAAAACTAATAGCAGATCATATAATACCTATGCTACTAGACACACGTTTAATGTATTAATGTCGTCCACTGACGAATACCCCATCAAATACCTATCAATGTACATTTATAAAGAATATCATTTTATTTTGATGTGTTAAACATAATTATGATGATCTTAGAGTAAAACTAATAGCGCAACATATTATACCTATGCTACTAGACACACGTTTAATGTATTAATGTCGTCCACTGACGAATACCCCATCAAAGACCTATCAATGTACATCTGTACAGAATATCATTTTGTTTGATGTGTTAAACATAATTATGATGATCTTAGAGCAGAACTAATAGCAGATCATATTATACCTATGCTACTAGGCACACGTTTAATGTATTAATGTCGTCCACTGACGAATACCCGATCAAAGACCTATCAATGTACATCTGTAAAGAAATGAGTCCCCGACTACCTGTATTACCTTTGTATCATGGGCCTATGGCATTCAATATTGAATGTACCAAGTTGTTTGATTGATATCTTTCTTAAAATATTCGTTCTTCAAGGTGTAACTTCAATCAATTGGGTAACTTTAGAAAGCACATATGAATAGAATCTTTGAGTGACCCTCCCCATTTATCATATAGTGCCAGAATGTAAACCCCAGTTTACACCTAAGGAGAAAATAATGGTCAATACTTTAGTGAGCAAGAATGCACTGTATCCATGTATAGAACATGAAAGTAGTTCCTCCTTGATTGGTTGGTTGGTTTGTTGTTTGACGCCGCACTCAGCAATATTCCAGCTATATGACGGCGGTCTGTAAATAATCGAGTCTGGACCAGACAATCCAGTGATTGATATCATGAGCATCGATCCACGCAATTGGGATCAATGACATGCATCAACCAAGTCATCGAGCCTGACCACCCGATCCCGTTAGTCGCCTTTTACGACAAGCATAGTCGCCTTTTACGGCAAGCATGGGTTGCTGTTCAAAGACCTATTCTACCCCGGAATCTTCACGGGTCTCCTCCTTGATCACTTCGTTTTCACATGTGTTAATCGCATCGATAACACTGTCCATTGTTTGATGAAAGTGAATATCATTGTTCTTTATTCTACACAATATCAATGGAGACAATGCACCTTTACTTCCTATTCTGCCTTGTGCCACTGTATTCGGGGGTCGTGTTCTCTGAGTGAGTGAGTGAGTGAGTGGCCGCTGTATTCGGGGGTCTGAGTGAGTGAGTGAGTGAGTGACTATGGTTTTACGCCGCTTTTAGCAATATTCCAGCAATATCAAGGCGGGGGACACCACAAATGGGCTTCACAGATTGTACCCATGTCGGGAATCGAACCCGGGTCTTCGGCGTGACGAGCTAACGCTTTAACCTCTAAGCTACCTGACCGCCCCTGTGTTCTCTGAAGGTGTCATGTCCTAAAACGGAAATATTCACTGTAATCAGTTCTACCTTACCTGTTGTTGACGTGGCGCTCGACCCCGAGGTTGGTGTTGTTGATTGGGTAGACTGAGTTGTAGAGGATGCTGATGTTGTTTGTGTCGACGTCAAGGTAGACGATCCAGTTGTCGTAGACGTAGAAAGTGGTACTTTGCGGGTCTCACGTATTTTACCGCAATCAACGGTAATATTCCCTCTACCTAAAAACCATTAAAATGTTTAATACGATTGTGTTGCTTAGGAGATGCATACACTTTGCTTTCCATAGAGTTAGAGCTAACTTATATTGACAAACGAACGCGCAGCGAACTCTTTGGTGTCACCTAAGGTATAGAGTGATTTTGTTTGTTTGTTTGTTTGTTGTTTGACGCCGCACTCAGTAAAATTCCAGCTAAATGACGGCGGTCCGTAAATAATAGATTCTGGACCACAAAATCCAGTGTTTGACATCACGAGCATCGATCAACGCAATTGGGATACGATGACATGCATCAACCAAGTCAGTGAACCTGACCACCCGGTCCTGTTAGTCGCCTCTTACAACAAGCATAGTCGCCTTTTACGGCAATCATGGGTTGCTGAAGACCTATTCTACCCCAAATCCAGTATGTGTATCTCTACCCGGATCGGTCTGGGACGTATTGAGTGAAGAGGTGTGGGTTGATGTCAGTGTTTTTGTTGTATATCCGAATTAATTAAACACCGAGAACAGCCTTTAAACAAAGCATGCCGCTGTATATGCTCAAACATTATTTTCTTTCCACAATTATACTTTACTTGCATATAATACGGGCATTGAATTTGTGGAGCACAGCTACATGTACTTCGAAAGAACACATGAAGTTGGCACCCTATACAAAAGAAACATTAGCAAATCGTGTTAGGTTCTACACCCCACGTCACTATTATGACGTCACATCGAAGATTGTTGTGACGCAAAATATATGAGTCACAGTGGTCTGTAGAAAAGAACAAAATTTCAGGCTCCATCATAATACAGATGGTGTTCACATGGTCAAAAAATATATAAGGTATTAAATTAGCTGAATTAGGTAATTGCGCAAAACCTTAAAAACACCAACATGAAATCTTTCGAGGACGCGCTTATTAAGGATGTCTGCATCGAAATCAATTAATTTTGAAGGATAAGTATTTTCCTTTCAAAATAATAAACTCTAACTGCCCAAAATGAAATGCAGAAGAGTTCCTGTACATTTTACCGCTTTAGGTGCACTTCAACCAAGTCAGCGAGCCTGACCACCCGATCCCGTTAGTTGCCTCTTACGACAAGCATAGTCGCCTTTTACGGCAAGCAAGAAGACCTATTCTACCCCAAATCCAGTATGTGTAATAAATATTCGGGACATTAAGTAATGCACATTAAAAGTAAGTGACCCTGTATATAAAATTTTATACATTTTGTACACAATAATAGAATAGGTCATACCAAAGGATGTGCCGGATTCTACTTGAGTGTTTTCCCCAAGAAGAACAGTGTTTGTTGTGATTAATGACATTCCTTATGCCAGTAAATGCACGACAATATTCATGAAAGTTTCAACTTGTCTCAAAAAAAGTCGATAATACCCATAACGAATAGCAAGAGACAAACCACCTGAGAACATATATGGTAGTACAAATAGTTAGACATTTGGTAACACAATATGGACATGGATTCGGATATTGTGTTGGAGCAAATAAAATCGAAGCTCTATATGCATAATCGAAATATATCACTATCAAATAGTGATGATCCCAGGTGTTCGCGAAATGGTTCACTCATCCTGCCCCATGAGCCACAGCCGTCATAAAGCTTGAATATTGCTGAGTTCGGCGTTAAACAACAAACAAACCCATGAGCCACACCCGTCACAAACACATGCAAAGGCATGTCAAGCGGTCACCGAAAAATATGGTACAAGTCAAAATTGAGAATTTGCATCAAATTTGGAACATTTCTGCCATAACGCTTATGTCATCTCTTACGACCAGCATAATTATATGTCCAGGACGTATTCAAATCCGAAAAACCAATTGGGCGTGTGGTCGGGCTCTTAATTACATTAAGCTCCACTGGTTATATTTCAAAGCAAACATACCGTCGGTAACTCACGACACAACGCAGACTCACGGTGCCTACCTTCCAAAAGGACCCAAGCAGCCTGAGGCGGAGTCCCTCCTACGTCAACTATATTAACAGCAATAGGAACAGCACCATCATACAGCGTTGCTAAGAATCTCAGGTCTGTCCTCTCGCAGGAAAATATAGTCACATCTCCCTCTTTGTCTATTTCCAATCCTGAACAAGGTCCTCCATTCACGGACACCATTGACACGTCCAGCGCCCTGACCTTGACATTTGCGCCTTCCGGTCCAGTGACGTCACATCCGTATACATTTGCTGTTCCTTGTTTCGTCTTGGTGATGGGAATCCGATAGAGTAGATACACTAAGTTGTTGGTGATCTGTGTCTCGACATCATAACCGATGATGAGAGTATCTGGATAAATAGACAAAATATGTTGTGCTGAGATTCGGTCTTCAGAGAATTGCCTCGGGGAATACACGTTCAAATATTAATGGTGTTTATACATTAACAGTAGTTCGAACATTTTGTGGAAATGTATCTTAATACATCTCTGTACGACGAAGCATACAGACGTTGAACAGGTTCATTTGGATGCAGGGAAATGATATCTTGTTTCAGATACTCGATCCACAAAACGACAAGAATTAAAATAGTATTGATTTTAAGGCGATCTAAAGTAAACGGTGTCGATCATTTAATATTCTGTTGGGATAATGGGGCCTGGGTCATTGTTTGTGGAGACAATGTTTCTTGGTACATGTAATTGTTTCCAGGCATACAAAACGTTTTCTCCTAATGTATGGTCGAACAATTACATGTTTTTTGTTTGTTTTTTTCCAGGACATCAAACATGGCCAGAGAACAATTATTCAGAAACTGTGACAAAGTAATTATGCCATTATGAATACATTTTGTGCTCAATAATAGTCGAAGTCACACAGAAGGATATTCTGGATTCTGCAACAATTAGTTCAGGAAGTGCAGTGTTTGTTATCGTTGTTGACGCTTGCCGTTTAAATATCGAATGATGGTCGATGCCAAAACCAATAATAATTATTTTGTATCAGAATTAGTCTTCAGCAACCCATGTTTGTCGTAAGAGGCGACTAACGGGATCGATGGTCAGGCTCGCTGACTTGGTTGTGTCATGTCATCAAAATGCTTTTGATCTTACCTAAAAACCTTAACTAAAAATCTTAACTAAAAATCTTAACTAAAAATCTTAACTAAAAATCTTACCTAACACACAACGATGAGACACCACAGAGAATGTTGACACAGGAAGTTTCAGTTGACCACAGTTCTGGTTCTTTTGTGGCGTCATATGGTCACAGGAGCGAGACCCTAAACACGAACGAAGAAGCCTGTCTGCATCAACCCCGGTGTAAGGCTTGTAACACTGGCGTCCAGTGCGCTTGCAGCAGGCATTGATGTAGCGGTCACTACAAGAGGACAGCTTGCCTCTGGTGCAGGTCGTGGTTCTGGACTGATGAGCGTAGAGGGCATCGGTCACTACCACAGTGTGACCTACTGGACAGGACATAGTGTGTTGACCACATCTATTGACATTGCTGTAACACGCGCTTGTTTCTGTGTCCTTGCCGTGGGATACTGCAACACAAACTTAACATGCTTCAAAAGGCAAACATATTTCTAAAGGGTGTTATATATGTGTGGTTGAAAAAGCGTTCAAGCAGACATTTTTTTATATAGTGTATTATATATCACATCATAATATCATAATGAAATGTGGATCACGATCGCCGTTTGGCTGTGACAGAGTGAGTTTGGTTAAACACCTCTTTGAAAAGCATTTCAGTTAGACCTGCATCACTTCGGGCTTTCCTCCCACATTAAGCTGACACGCCCTGATATAACACTCACACTCATCACGGCGTGTTAGCGTGCTGTCGGGGGTAAGAACAAAGGTTTGCAGATTGCGAGTAGACGACGTGGAAACCAACAAGAACATGATGACTGACCAAATAGAGGAATCGATGTGAATCTGGATTTCGAACTCATGACTCGTTCCCCTCTGACGGCGTTGGAGTTGTAGGTCTATGCACCTTGTAGAACTCATGCCCAGTAGATTCTGTCATGGTTTAAGAAATAACTCCACACAGCGAATAGCCATTCCATTGACCAGTAGGCCGCCTGTTCCCCCATGGGGCATTGTGTAAGAATTGCCGTTTTTATGTCGTTATAATCAGTAACATTATATTATACCATATAAAGGTGGGGACCTACACTGATCCATCTGGGACAAGTCAAAAGCACCAAAGGCTCTCAACCTGAAGGTTCAGAACGTCAAGACCTGAGAATAATCAGTCTCGATTATCAAATTTCACTGGGCCTAAAAGGCAAAATAACGATTAAAATCATACGGATGGATCACTGAAAATCAGTGATGACACCAGGTGTTCGCGAAAAGGGTCCTGCTCGAGCTCTATCGGTGGAACCCGTCACTCGCACAATTTTCATAAAATAACTGTTTGTTTGTTGCCTAACTAATCACATCACAGATGTTATAGTTCTCAGGAACTTGTTTGAAAAGATATAGTTTCATATTTCTGAAACGAAACTTGAATATGGTGAACGAAAGACATTGGCTAAAGTAACATCTCATTGTGCGACCTAGATGCTTAAATGAACTTGAATATTGACGGCAAACATAGAGCGATTCTTTATCGCAGCTGCCTATCTGAGCATATACTCACTCTGGAAAAGAACTGCGAAGCTCAAACACAGGTATCCACACCAAAGCACATCTTTCAAGGTATTACATTCCATTTTTCTGAACAAGAAACACTTGTAAATAATCCGAGATTCTATTTCCAGGTCACAAGCACCCCAGTGAAGTATATCAGGGCGTGTTAAAGTGACTGCAGCATATATATCCTCGCACCCAGCTGATGACCTGGATAGTGACAGTGTTAGTACCTCGGAAGGCATTGCGCGACGGTACAACCATCACTCCGATCCCGTCAACTTTTGACCTATAACTTACAGATTACGAAGGGGAAGCTCAGCCTAAATAGACTTAAATTGTCTGAAATGTATCTGTTCCGTATGTGAACACCCAATGCACCGTCTAATTTAGAACGATTGAGCGGATGCCATCATTCCAATTACAGCTTTTGGTGTTTGACTCTACACTCTACATTTGTATGAACGTCAACTATCCGAAAACGCTTTTCGTGTCGAGACGAGCAGAGTGTCAAATATATTGACCACTGACAAAAGATTTATGTGTGTAAAAGCAAATAAATACAAGAATCAATTGAAAACGGTTGGTTTTACAACAAACATGATTTAAGAACATGAATATCAAACTCGCTGCCAAAAGAAATTTTACAAATTTAAAATGAAATTGCAAAAACTTAAAAACATAAATTCAAACTAAATCAATGCAAAACACATCATCCAAACACAATAATGCTCTATGCAGAAAGTGATATACATCCACGGCACGTTTTTTTCGTGTGTAGAAAATGCGAAATTGTGAACAACACGTGTCGCTTGGTCAGTAGAAACTACACGTGCAATATGGGTATATAAAGGAACGGCATGTCAGAGACTCACTGATGAAAAACTCACCACAGAATTGGCACAACTGATGCCCGAACAACGCGAGCGGGCCCTGGGAATGATACAGATTGGAGCTTGCAATGCCCACATACACACCCAGGGTAACTACGCCCAATGAAGACCCGTACTTAAGTACTTTGCATGTCTGGAATCGATTCCTGACATCAACGTCATCAGCAACGAATGCCTTCGATTCAGGGCTCAAGGAATTGTGGCTCACATACCTTACATATGACGGTTATTGACACGGGAACATCGTCGTCAGAGATTGAGATGGGCCTGGAGAGATGACTGACTGATGAAAGCCGGTTTCTGTCTGCTCAGAGCGTGTTTACCGCCGAAAGGGAGAACGAAAGGCGGTGTGTTGCGTTCAGGAGGTCGTGTCGTATGGTGGAGGGGGTGTTATGGTGTGGGAAAGAATTTGTGGGCAGGAGAGAACACCACTGGTCATCGTTACTGAGAATTTGACAGCTCCGAATTACATGGATGACATTCTTCGTCCGATTGTCCTGCCATTTCTACAACGGCTTCCACGTGGTATCTTTTATCAGCATGACAAGCCAGACCTCGAATCGTACAGAACGTCAACGTGTTGCCGTGGCCTGTTACCCCCCCCCCCCCCCCCCCCCCCCCCCGACATATCCCCCCATAGAACAGAACAGCTCTAGGATGTCATGGATCGTCGTGTCCATTACGTTGAAAGATTGTTTGTGATACCCCACCTCAATTCGGGCAACTGTCATGCCAATATCGGATGCTGTATGACTGTCATTTTAAATGTTGATTTCGTTGAGATTTTCATTACATTTTACTTCATCTGTCTGTCTGTCTGTCTACTGTGGTTTTTAAACTAGTGTGTTTAATAACTATATGGTATAAGTTTGGCCCTCAGTTTATGTATTGTAAGCAGCGCTTACACATATCAAACCAGCGAACAGTGACGGTATCTGAAAAGATAAAAAGTGTATAGAAAAGAGTTTAACAGTTTTTTTTATTTATTTGTTGAGTAATTGCGTTGTGGGAAATTCTATGATACTGAGTTTGCACTTCAAATTTTAGGTAGCATTGTAATCAAAATTCCAAGAGTGATTATGTTGAATTATTGGATCGTGAATTAATTAAGTTACAATCCAACCCTCCTGGTTCCCAAATTAAAACATGCAAATATGATTGGATATACTGCTCTATTGTAAACAATGGTCGGACAGCCAAGGGGTAATAACATTCTCCTGCCACACTGAAGACTCAGGTTCGAATCCCCAAATGACACACTGTGTGAAGCCATTCCTTGTGTTCCATTCACTCAAATTCCAGTAGCTGACAGTCAAGTCTCGTTACTCCGACACTCGTTAATCCGACAATCGGCTTTATCCGACACTAAGGATGGGAACCGATTAAATCCGTGCTATTTAGACCCGTTAATCCGACAGTCTCGCACTCCGACTCCGACACACCTAATTTGCAACGAATTATCGAAATCACTCATTAATCAGTCTCGTTAATCCGACACAGTGATCAGCGTACTCCGTGGTCATCTGCCCGCGAGTACACAGCCAGTGTTTTGATGCAAGACGAGTCGGCTGGTAGCTGCATATTACAACGGCTGCAGAGATAAACTTGCTTAGCAATAAACAATTAATGCTTTAAATAAAGAACTACACAAGGTAGACAATCTGTGGTATCGATACACGTAATTCATGAAAATAAAATCTGACAAATGTGATTGACATTACGTGCTTGTAATATCAAAACGCTATACGTTACAGGAATAAAAACAACACAAACATGAACATGATTTATTCAGGTGCATGATGTTTGTTTATTTATTGGTTTAACGCCGCACTTAACACGGCAATATTTCATCTATATGACGGCGGTCTGTAAATAATAGAGTCTGGACCAGATAATCCAGTGATGTACATCATGAGCATCGATCCACGCAATTGGGATACGGTGACATGCACCAACCAAGTCATCGAGCCCGACCACCCCATGCCGTTAGTCGCCTCTTACGACAAGCATAGTCGCCTTTTACGGCAAGTAAGGGTTGCCGAAGTCCTATTCTACCGGGAATAGTGACATAAAATGACAACTATTGGTATACATCCTACATCCTACATCCTACATCCTACATCTCCGTGGGGTGTTATACCCCGGATCTTCACGGGTCTCAGGAGAAGACCTATTCTACCGGGAATAATGACATAAAATGACTACTATTGGTATACATCCTACATCCTACATCCTACTTCCTACATCCTTCATCCTACATCCTACATCTCCGTGGGGTGTTATACCCCGGATCTTCACGGGACCTATTCTACCGGGAATAATGACATAAAATGACTACTATTGGTATACATCCTACATCCTACATCCTACATCTCCGTGGGGTGTTATACCCCGGATCTTCACGGGTCTCAGGAGAATGAAACGTCCAGCTTGTACTTTTACATTCATGAGCGGTCTGCGGTCTGTCAAACCATGTAATTGCATGTTTCGGAGCAGTCACTTAAGGTCATAGAGACATCTGTGAAAAGAAAAATCATACGTTCATAAAGTGGTAGATGACAATTACGAAATATGTATCTGGATAATTGGAGTTTAATTGAATTTTTGGTTTTTCAAAAGTGATTTTGAAGTAGAAGTGTGTTTAATGCCGTCACTGCTCCTAGTATTAGACCGTTTCCGTGGTCAAGTGGTAGAGCGTCCACCCGGAGAGCGGAAGGTCCGGGGTTCGCTCCCCGACCGCGTCAAACCAAAAGATGGTACTTGTTATTACCCTGTCAGGCGCTCGGCATTAAGGGGAAAAAACAAGGACAGGTCGGCTTTGAGTCAGTATACTGTGTCTGAGTGGGGTATTCATGTTAAACTGCGGCCTGGTATCTCAGTGGACAAGCACTATAAATCGGCATCAGTCCAGACCAGTACATGCAGTCACACGCACGCACGCACGCACACGCACGCATGCACACACACACGCACACGCACGCACACATACACACACACACATGCAGGTCGCATCACAGTGTCAGCACAAAAAAGCGAGGAAGCTCGTCATTCTTGTTTGTTTTATGTGACCTATATACGAAACACGCTGCCACGTATCCTTGATTTATTTTGTTTTTCTACCTTCGCTGAATAAGCGGAATAAAAGATACAGAGTGACGTGCCCTTTATCCACATGGACGTGAGTTTGCGAACAGCTCAATAATACTTCGTATTTGTGTAATTTATATGCGAATTTGAGACTGAAACCTACTCATTTTGAAACCTGGTGACGTAGTCATTGTGAAGTAACGAAGCATGGTATCAATCGAGGTGTACAGGGCCAGGATCGGGTCGTCCTCCCACCCGAGGGCACCCGCCAAATCAAGCTCAACAATGCCACTTACTCACCGTACACATCAGGATCGGATATACCACTCAGATGCTTGTTGTGCTCTTTTCTTCTGACGATCCAGGTGCTGTGCTCATTTGGCATTATCAGTATTCTAGAAAATTAACTAGATTTCACTAATTTAATACCGGCAGAAAAATAATTCAGTAGCGTATGTTCCATTGTCTCGGAATCTTCCAAACACAGACATCCTGTGTTCCTGTCCGGTGGTAAATATGTTTGCCACAAAGATCAAGTTCAACCTGTCTGTTTGGTCTCGGTAGAAGTGCAGTGCCATCGAATTGTTCAGGCGGCGTTGACCCATTGTTGATCTCAGGTAGTTTTTCACCCTCCTCACACTGCTGAATAGCCTTCCATTAAATTTGATTACCACCACTTCGTCCCTGAACAGCGGGGATCCAGTGTAAGAGACGAGTGTCATGATGGTTTCTTGTTTTTGTGTTGGAAATGCTCACCCTCAGAGTTTTCCCGAGGCAAGTGAGTTAACTGACTATAAAAGTCCAGTTTCCACCCTTGCCGAACTAGGCTGGTATTATGGAGTTATATTTTGGCTGGACTAACGAGTCTATGCATAGTCCAATCAAAATCGCGCACCGAAATCGAAATCCGGTTCGTAGAGTGTCATGCAGATTTCGGTCGACTGCAGGATTTGCAAAGCATGTGCACCGCTAACTCGTTGTCAACAGATATTTTCTAAATCTTTTCATGTTTTTAATCAAGGTGCTCACGTGATTTGATGCACTTCGCGATGTAAGACTCGTTTAACACAAAATAGATCTTGATTATCGATCAGATCGTCTTGACTGGGCGCCACCGTTTTGTTTGAAACAAATGCAAGTGATACGAGAGGTTGAATCTGATTGGTCAATAGGAGAGGCATAGAAAGGACATAACTCGTTATAGCCACTGGTGGCGCTACGATCGAGCCCAGGAATTCCAGCCTAGTTCGGCAAGGGTGGAAACTGGACTTTCAAAGTCAG